ACGGACCTTTGGGCCCATTCCAATCGACGAGGCTTGTCCGCAGGCAACATTCTTTGCGTCAATTGAATTTTGTACGGGATCAAAGGCAAATCAATGCGAATAATCCGTTGTAAAGTGGACCGAGCCATGCCCAACTGCTGAGAACGGCGTTTTTGGGATGTTCTTGGGGACCTCTCAACACTGGCTCGTACGGCAGCGATATTCTCGGCCGATCGCCTTGGTCGACTTTTATATGGCCTCTTCGGATTAGAAAGAGCCTTACCAGTCGAAAATTTTTCGTATAAACGCTTAATGGTGTTCTTAGAAGGCGTACTTCTCACATTTTTTTCACAATTGACTTCTTCTGTTGAATGTAAATTTCAGCTATATCAGAGCGCTCGCGTGGCGTGTATTGGTTCATGGTAAAAATCTGCTTGGACTGACGCTTCAAACGCGGTATGTCATTAAGCGATGTGACATCTCTGTCAAAAGTTATGGCGTTGCCAGATGGGTCTGTCGAATATGGGCTACCCTGTACAAAATCTTTTACCGCTCGTATGTGAATAGGAGTCATCTTGGTCTCTGCATAGAAGTCCCAAAATAAGTCTAAGGATATATAACTTTTTTCACATCTTTAATGGATTAAAGTCTTTGAAAGACATTCTATATGTAGAAGACCTTTGACAAGCCTTATATGAGGCAAAATACAGTAGACCCTTAAAAGTATTTTCCTTATATAAGGCTTGTCAAAGGTCTTCTATGTACAGAATGTCTCCCAAAGACTTCAATCCATTAAAGGCTTATGGGTAGAAAAAATTCTCAAGGGCTTTATGTGGGTCAAATACTTTTGTCAGATCTTCAATGTATACCTCTAATCTCTAGTAAGTCATCTTTGTTAGAATGATCTATGGATCTATGATTTTCGATGGACACGAGACTTCTAGTTTTAGTGAGAGTTCATGGACTCATAAGTCCATATGTAGGGTAACTTCTATATGTCGTTTATAGAATGTATTTGACAGATTTTTTACAACTCTTTGTAAGTGTAATAATTTTTTATGTCCATCAATGCCTTGTCTTGGAGTACAATATTCCTAAGAAAACAATTACTTTGTTATTTCGTTTTTAAAACTTCATACGAATACGAAAGTTGTTAAAAAAATCACAATTCACTTGTCGCTCCATTGATTTTGAAATAAAGAAAAACCAAAACTGGAAAAAAATAATTAAAATCCTACATTAAGACCTTGAACGAATACCGGGAACTTTGCAAATGTCATGTCAGCATTTCAAAATGCCAGACGATTACAATGGACTTACACACTTGTTGTTAGTGTTGTTGCAAATCTCCTTGTCGCAAGCAAGTAAGCAAGAAACACGCCATCGCTACCATACCACCCACTTTTTTTTCCAGGAATTTAAGAAAATACAAAATCCAACTACTTGGAGCAGCAATTGAGGTAGGATTATTTGGTGCCGGGTTTGCAGGTGTGGGTGTATGAATGTGAGTGAGTGTGTGTGTGGGACGATGTTGGTAAATAATGTATGACATTTTTGTAAATCCAAGTAGTACAAACACGCAATAACGACAACGAAAACCGAGCAGACCAGGTGACTCATAACAACAATAATAGAAAGTAAAAAGAAAAAAAAAATAAATAAAACAAAGAACCACTCAAACGGACGCACATACATGTATGTGTAGGTATCTATGTGTGGATATTCGTGGCTACATTGTATTCCATTGTTTGCATGGTGATGACAACGTCTGCCATTGATGACGTGTGTGCGGGAACTTTATGACAGCCAGTGAATTAATGTTTGCCAAAATGTCTAGCCAAATGCAGCAGAGTCTTCCGATAAAAATGAATGAATCGTTTTTATAATGGGAAATTTTTAGAAGAAGCGGTTAAATGGAACAGCTATCTTCCTTTAGATACAAATATATGAATGACTAAAAGAGGTTTACAGGGCGAGATAAAATATCTGCAACAAAGATAAACGCAAATTTTTCAAATTTTAGACAAGTAAGCAAAGGCTATAGCCGTGCGGGGCCGACCATGTGATACCCTACAACACTACAATATGTTCGAAGTCCCTTTATATGCAAGTCCATTTTGGAAGATTTCTTTTTTGAAATAATGATAAAGAGCCCTGTCCAGAGGTTACCCTTAGGTTTTTGACCCTGAGAATTTGGCCAATATTTACGCACTCCGTAGTATTGAGAAGTATTCAAAACAATTGCACACGAAAGTTGTGGTCAATTTTACAGCTAAATATAATCCAATGGTCATCCAAAATGCTAGACTTCTTCTCTGTCCTCAACTCTCTTCCGATGCGAAATTCCGTGTCGATTAGTTTTCAATTGTGGCCTATAGAACGACTACAAAATTAGAAAAATGTAAATTTTTTTTAGCCATTTAAACCTTTAAGTGCACATCCTAAGAACAATAGGCTTAAATTCGACCCATGCAAAATTTCGTGAGGATCGGACGATAATTGCGACATACATATAATAACCTCAAAACGTAGTGTTGGGGGGTGTAAAAATTTAAAAAATTCAAAATTGTAAGTCAAATCGAAAAAATCGCATGCCATAAAAAAATGACAAAAATGGAAAAAAATGAAACAAAAGATATAACTTTTTTTATTGGTATATTATCCCGCGATTTTCTTAGATTTTATTCTTTTCTGGCAAGAGACCATTCCGAATTGATGTGAATTGTGAAAATCGACCCAGCGGTTCTTGATTTATAAGCAGAATAAATAAGATCAATTCTTTTACACATGTATTGTACCTATTTTGCTATATATCCGATTTCTTGGCTTTTAGCATCACTGTTATGGTCAGAAGCGATATTTTAATGTATTTGTGATTTGGCTGAGATTAAAAATATTAGCGGTTTAGTGGAAATGTTCCTATTTTCTAACATAAAAGTCAGGGTCTATTTTAGCCGCTAATTATTGTCCGATGGCCGCTCAAATTGGTAGGTTTCTGCCCAGTCCCAAACTCTAACTCCATGTAAATTTTCGCGTCGATTGGTTCATAATTATGACCTATAGAGCAACTGCAAAATCAGGAAAATTTTCTGTTTTTGGTCCATTTCAACCCCTAAATATCGTGCGATCATCTCCAAAACAGGGTTCTATTCTGACCCTAACCCCACCTCCATTTCCAATTTCGTGAGGATCGGTTCATAATTGCGACCTGTAGCTTGATTACAAATTAACATGGACAGACGGAAGGACGGACATACATAGCTAGATCGACTCAGCTCGGCGAGCTAGGAAGACCCATATATACTTTCCTATGTGGGAAACCAATATTTCGAGGTGTTACGTAATTTTTGGCCCAATCAAACTTATAATACCCCCAACACATAGTGTTGTAGGGTATAAATATGTTTAGATTTGTTCAAATTGGTCATATTGGGCACGAATTATTGCCTTCAAGCGGCCAATGAAAACGTAACACGCTGCCCAAATGTTGCTCTGTGGTATTTTGGTCCATTCCCTGCGAAATATTTATTAGTGCCAACCTTACTTTCCTAATTACTCCAGACACAATAGTCCAACGGATTGGCCACCGAAGATTTTGATGGCCATTGTGCGCTGGAAATGAAGCGAGGAACCTAATTTTGTAACCATTATTGGGTGGCGTGTGCTTAGTGCGATGGTGCTGAGTCCTGTTGGAATGTCCAAGGTCTGCGGCCAAAATGTTTGCGTGCCCAAGGCTTTAATACACCCTCCAGAATATTTTCGCAATAATAGTCGGCATTTATTCTGATGCCACGGAGCGAGCGGAGAACGACCACGACCGACGGCTGTTATGGCAGCTCACACCATCACCATGGCCGGCGCTTGAGTTCGGGTGGCCAATCGAAGGTGTACATTTTCAGCTGATTCTTAAGCTCTTTTGAGTCTATTTTCGTTCGGTTGCGGTGTAAGTTCTTGCACTTTTTGGAATTTCAATGGCTTTACCCCGAGCTCATTTTTCAATATTTGCCGAATGGGATATTACGATATGTTCAGCTCATGAGCCATTTTTCGGCCACTGCCACACGGGTTTCGATCAAATCGCTTCTTTACTTTTCGAACCATTTCGGCTGATGTTGCTGTGTTCTTCCGTCCACTTCCTTGACGTCGGGCTACGCTACCAGTATCACGGTAATGAGCGATGGTACGAGACACAAAAGATTTATTCACTTTTAAATGCTGGAGTGCTCTAACGATAGTCACTTGTGGTTTTCCAGCCAAATATAAAGAGATCACACTATTTCTTTTTTTATGATTTTTTCCTCCGTCTTTTTTGGAGTTACCGACTGAAACTAAAATAAAAATTCGTTTTAGACTAAAGGTGTCAAAAAAAAAAAAAAAAAAAAAAAAAAAAAATCTAGAAAAATTCACTGTGGGCTTTGGAAAATACCAAGCGGATTTAATAAGACTTGGTTTATTAATGAATTAAATTAATCTCAGGCCAAACTTTCTTGAGGTCCTTATATAGACTTGGTCAATCAAAAAGGGACCCCCATATGTTGAGATATATTTCGCAACATTTAATTTAGAGGTTTGAAAACTTATGTAGGGATACACGATATTGTGGACCTATATAGACAATACTCATCCAAGAGGTAAAATACTCAGAAGTAACTCCTCGTGTGGATTTCCAGACAATTTCATTGAAAAATTTGGCTACAACCATCAAAATACCGAATATCGGGGGATACCGTTATATGTGGGCTATATGATATCGTGGACCGATATAGCCCATCTTCGAACTTGAACTGCCTACAGACAAAAACTGATCTGCGCAAAATGTTAGCTTTCTATCTTAATTCGTTTTGAATTTTAGGCTGATCAAGAGTATATATACTTTGTTAGTTCTAAAATTATTATTTCGATAAGTTACAAACGGAATGAAGAACTTAATATACCCTGCAATGTATGGCGGAGGGTATACAAATGAGTTCCCACTGACAATTGCATATTTAATGAAATATTTATTTTTAATTCCTTTTCAGGAAAATGGAAGATCAGTTCCTGATGTTACGGCAAGCCCGGGCCGTGCGCCGCCCGGACCATTGCCATCAAATCAAATGCAAACGATGGTCAATCAGCAACAACAGCAGCAGCAACAACATCAACAACAGCAGCAACAACATCATCATCAACAACAACAATCACAGCATCAACAACATCATCAGCAACGGCAGGGCGGTTCCAAAGAACCGGTACTACTGCAGGGTGATTTCCGGAAGGTCTCGGGTATTAGTTCAGAGATTTTCCGGCAGATAGAAGCTGTTGAAAATGATCACGATCCGAATACAGCGGCCGCCTTGGAGGTAGAAAGATGTGCTTCTAAACTCGAGTTAAAATTAAAATCTTGTCTTCTTTTTTAGGCGGTCGAGAGACGAGGTGAAATGATTGTACGCATCTTGGAGCCCCATAGCATTGGAGGCAAACAGGCCGTAGATGCAGCCCATAAATTATTGGCCAAGAAAGATAATCGACACATAGTACAGGTGAGATTTTTGGAACTTTTGAAATTTTTTGAAAAAAAAATCTCATTATTGTTGCAATTTTGTTGCAGTTGGTGGAAATCGTCAAGAGACCCGGTCAGACCTTAGGTTTATATATTCGCGAGGGAAATGGTGCCGATCGTACAGATGGTGTATTCATTTCACGCATTGCCATCGAATCAGCGGTGTCGAATAGTGGATGCCTGAAGGTGTGTTGGTACTCTCTTTCCTTGTACCTCTCTCTCTCTCTTATTTTAAATGAGAAACACCCAAATATTCACTGATTTTCTTTAACATTCAGGTGGGCGATGAAATTCTGGCCGTGAATTTAGTCGATGTCACACACATGTCCCTGGACGACGTTGTCATAATAATGTCAATTCCACGACGTCTAGTGTTGGCCATACGACAGCGTTGCGGCAATCGTGGCACCGGTTCACCGGGCCCACCTTCCATGTCCAGACCCGAGCAGAAGCCACCACCGGTTGTTGTCATGAAACGTGACCTGCGAGACGAGGAGCTAGACGAGACTGATCACATGTCAAGATCCCGTTCATCACGCGAAAGACGTACAGGTATTTGATATTGTTGCTTGGTTGTGATATATTAAGTTTGGTCTTTTTCTCCTCTCTCTCTTTTTGGGGGTGTAGGTGATGGCCGTGAGATGTCCGAGTCACGTTCCCGCCTAGGTCTGGGCCTTAACAACTATAGTCCGCAATCGGAACAATTGGATATGTACTATAATACACGCCCGGGCATGGAACCACCTAATTGGGGCTATAAACCACCACCACCGCCATCCTCAGTCATTACGGAACAGCCGAAGGGTCATCAGTTTGCTCCATCACATGCGTATTACAAGAATGCCGGTACGCTAGAGAGTTTGGCGGAGAAGGTGCATTCTTTCTATCCAGGAGCACCGCCATCTCGTCGCTTGTCGGTGGGTAATGTACCGCAACGGGCACGTTTCCCTCGATCCGGTTCCGATCAGCATTTGCCTCGCGTAGAATATGCCGACTATTCGAATTCATTGGGTCGCCACTCATTGCTAAGGCCAAGTTTGAAACCCAGCGGTGGTTCGGTGATTATGGGTCCGGGTGGCACACTGGGCCGTTATGGACGATACGATCCACATTCAAATGCCAAATATGGGCCAAGTGGTACTCAGTCCCTGACCCGACGATCAAGACCCAATTTGGATTATTCCAGTGATACAGAGGCAACGGTTGGACCGCGGCCCAATTATTACTACTATAACCGGCCTGCCATCGCCAGTATGCCTCGTGGTGCTGGGGCACCGGGCGGTGCTTCTGTACTGGGTGGAGGGCCAGATATGGCTAAGTTCAATTCACTGCCAAGAGATCGACCCGGTGTACGTTTACCGGGTATACGGTCACGTATAAGCGATCGCATAATGGATGAAAGTGATGGCAATATTTCGGCGCCCGAGTTCAATGCCAGACGGGATCGGGATTTGAGATCACGCATCACAGCCAGTCCCCAGTCCATATTTACATCGGATGAATATCGGGCCTGGTTACGAAGGGCACCCAGCAGTTCTGCCATAGCCGAACAGATGCGTATGACAAGGGATTTGTTAAATCAGCCGAGGTCACATCGATTCTCATGCAGTGCCGAGAACATACACGATGCTCTGAGAAATGTACGTCAGGAAGTCGTAGCGCTGTTAAGATTGTGTCTTAATCAATTTTCTTGTTTTTCTTTCAGACGGAAAGCATTTACTCCAGTCGAACGGGTATACTGGGAGCCGGTACCCTGGATCGCCACTTGGGTATGCCCCGGCCCATTTCTTCACTGCCAGTGCGTTCCATGTCATCCCAGCACATAGGTGGCCCCAATTCAATACGTTCCCCCAGCATTCGTCGCATGCGCCAACTACTCGAACTCTCAGCTGGCCCAGCCAGTCCCAGTGGCAGCATTATGAGTACCGGAGGCCATCAAAGTCCGGCGCCCACCCCCAGTGCCACACTGCCGCGACCACATCGACAAATCGACATTAATCCTGCAGAGTTCAGCAAATACAAGCTAGACAAACCAATAGTTGATATTGGCGGTGTATCGGGTATGTTGTGGATTCACCTGTTAGCGGGCCGTGGCCTACGTTCGGCACCCGAACTGGGACCACAGCACGGTGCAGGAGGACAACATCTACCGGCGCCCACACGTGATCTGTACTGTGTGATAGAATGCGATCGCGTGCACAAGGCCCGTACTGTGGTACGTTCCGGGGACTTGCAATTCGATTGGGACGAGTCATTCGAACTCGATCTGGTTGGGAATAAGCAATTGGATGTTCTCGTCTATTCATGGGATCCACAACATCGACACAAGTTATGCTATCGTGGAGCCATATCACTGTCAACGATACTACGGCAATCACCTCTACATCAACTCGCCCTCAAGGTGGAGCCACGCGGTACCATCTATATACGTATGCGTCACACTGATCCGATAGCTCTGTACAAGCGTCGTGGTTTGCCTAGTTTACGGGCCGGTTATCCCACCCTATTCGGTGCTGATCTTGAGACTGTGGTGAATCGCGAGTCGAAGGGAGCTCCTGGCTGTGCCCCAGTTCCCATAGTGCTGCGACGATGTGTCGAAGAGGTAGAGCGACGTGGTCTGGATATAATCGGCTTGTATCGTCTGTGTGGATCGGCCACCAAAAAACGTTTGCTGCGCGAGGCATTCGAACGTAATAGTCGTGCCGTGGAATTGACTCCCGAACATGTTCCTGATATCAATGTCATCACTGGTGTGCTGAAAGACTATCTAAGAGAATTGCCAGAACCGTTGTTCACGCGATGTCTCTTCCAGATGACAGTCGATGCATTGGGTGAGTTTAGGATAATTGAGAAATAATCTTCCTCCACCATACTATGGAGGATATATTAACTTTGTTATTCCGCTTGTAACTCCTCAAAATACTCATGTCAGACCCAACAAAGTATATATATTCTTGATCAGCGTAAAATTCTAAGTCGATTTAGCTATGTCCGTCTGTCTGTTGTAATCACGCTATCTTTCGAATCAATTGAGATAGATGGCTAAAATTTTGCACACATGTTTATTTTTCCAGTAGGCAGGTTAAGTTGGAACTACAGTCTGTGACAGAAATAGGCCCCATATATCAGTACCTCCCTATATTCGGTATTTTGACGATTTTAGGTACAATACCCACCGAAATTGTTTGAGATGTGGTATTTGAAGTTCTTAATGGATGCTACAGCCTGTGACAGAAAATTGCTGGTCCAGGTCTTCGCACAGCTCCGATATAATGGTACCTCCCTGTAAACGATATTTTGATGATTTTAGCTACATTATTCACGGTTTATTTCAAGTTTCGAATTTGAATATGGTAATGGCTTATGACAAACAATGCCTATGTATGTCCACCTCGTGTAGACCCCAATATAACGGCTATATTCGGTATTTTTAAAATGTTAACAGAATTTTTTAAGGATTTTATTTTTTGAAAATTTCCAAATTCGTTGCAAATGGTGGAGGGTATTAAAATATCGGCCCGGCTGAACTTACTGCTTTTTAACTTGTTAAAATTTGGTTATAAACATCCTTCCTTTATACTTCACATTTTGGGAAAGGTGTCAAAGTAAGAATTGTTCTACATCAAATTTCATTGTGAGTCTCTGAACAAAATAAATTTGTATATCAACATACGCTAGGCTCGTTAGTACTCGTTTATAGATGAAAACCCCACAGGAGTTTTGCGTTCAAATGTTATTATATATATATATATATATATATATATGTATATATATATATATATATATATATATATATATAGCTATTACATATACAGGAGGAGCCCAATGGTTTGAAACATATTTCTCAATATTACGGATAGAGCTTTGAAATTTAATAGAGATCATAGGATTACATTCATAATTATTGGTACAGAAATAGGTCATATTGGGCCTTGTTTTGAAATAATCCCATTGCAAGGATAATTTCGATTTCAAGTATTTTTAATTAATTAATTTTCCGAATTTTGGGCAAGTTTTACAAGAAATTATGAATATAGGTCCACCTTTTGGTACAGCAGTTATAAAATGATACTCCTGGTTTTAGTTATTCCAAGGGTCTTGGTCGACCAAATTATTCCTCGTATTGTTAGGGTGATAGGGTGAGATAAAAAAAACTGCAACAAAGTGATTTTATTCACTGAAAGCAAAAAATTTCGAAAATAACATCAAATTTTAGAATAAGTTTAGATTTGTTCGAATTAGTTACCTTTGGCACGAATTTTTGTCTTCAAACGACCAATGAAACCGCCACACGCTGCCCGAATGTTGCTCAGCGGTATTTTTGGCCATTCCCGGCGTAGCGCTTGCTTGAGGTAATCGACACTTTGGTATTTTTTAAGTGCCAACCTTGCTTTCCAAAATACTCCAGACACAATAGTCCAACGGATTGGTATCCGGAGATTTTGGTGGCCATTGTGCCCTGCAAATGAAGCGAGGAACCTCATTTTGTAATCATTCTTGGGTGGCGCGCGCTCAGTGCGATGGAGTCCTGTCGGAACGTCCAAGGTCTGCGGCCAACATGATTGCGTGCCCAAGGCTTTAATACCCCTCCAGAATGTTTTCGCGGTAATATTCGGTATTTATTCTGATGCCACGAACAATAAATACGAGCGGAGAGCGGCCCACACCATCACCATGGCCGGCGCTTGAGTTCTGGCGGGCAACGGAAGGTTCACATTTTCAGCTGACCTCTTTGGCCAGTAAACAAGATCATTTTGTTCGTTTACAAACTGCTGGACAACGAATGTTTTCTCATCGTAGAAAACCAAATTCGGCAGTTCACCACTTTCGGCCAAACGAAGCAACTCTTTAGCTCTTTTGAGTCTATTTTCTTTCCGTTGCGGTGCAAATTCTTGCACTTTTTGTAATTTCAATGGCTTTACCCCGAGCTCATTTTTCAATATTTGTCGAATGGAATATTGCGATATGTTCAGCACACGAGCCATTTTTCGGCCACTGCGACGCGAGTTTCGATCAAGTCGCTTCTTTAATTTTTGGAACCATTTCTGCTGATGTTGCTGTTTTCGTCCGTCCACTTCCTTGACGTCGGGCTACGCTACCAGTATCACGGTAACGAGCGATGGTACGAGACACAAAAGATGTATTCAGATATAAATACTGGAGTGCTCTAACGATAGCCACTTGTGGTTTTCCAGCCAAATATAAAGAAATCACACTATCAGACTGAATATTTTTTCTGGAAAATTCTCACCAAATTGGTATGTACACTCGTAAACAATATAATGAACTGTCTCTGGAATAATTTGAACAGCTGTCGGACGAGTGGCTTAGAAATGACAACAGACTGAAGTTGGTTGCAGTTTTTTCATCTCACCCTGTATTTATACCCTACACCACAAGGTGGTCAGGGTATTATGTCTTTGTGCATTTGTTTGTAACAGGTAAAAGGAAACGAGATAGACCTATAGTTCCTTTTGATGATCTGCATAGAATTACATTCTGAGTCGATTGATGCATGTCCTTCCGTCCGTCTGTCCATGTATTTTTGTAAGCAAAGTACAGTTCGCGTTTATTGCCCTATCCAGATGAAATTTTGCACAAATCATTTGTTTGGCCCAGGGACGAACCCTATTGAAATTGGAGATAATCGGTAAAAATTTAGATATAGCTATCATATATATATTCGTCCGATTTGTTTTTTATTGTGCACCAAATGTGTAATATCAGTCCCAATAGTATGGAATTTTGCAAGTACGATCAAATTTTACCTGAAAATAAGTATGCCAAATTTGATCGAAATCTGTTCAGATATAGCTATAGCTCCCATATATATTGTTCATCCGATTTGTTATTTTTGTCCTCCGCAGCCGTAATATGCACTCTGTAAAAACAATATTTGGGGAAATATATCAAATACAGCTCAGAAATACATTTGCTAAATTTTATCGAGATCGGTTCAGATTTGGATATAGCTCCCATATATAACTTCGTCCGATTTACCTTTGATTGTGCACCAAACGTCTAATATTTGTCCAAATTGGATGAAATTTGACACTAACGACTGAATTTAGTCTAGAAGCTAGTATGTCAAATTTGGTGAAGATCGGTTGAGATATAGCTATAGCTCCCATATATACTGTTCATCCGATTTGTCATATTTGTTACCCACATCCGTAATATGCACTCCGTGACAACGATATTCAGGGAAATATATCAAATACAGCTCAGAAATATTTTTGCAAATATTATCGAGATCGGTTCCGATTTGGATATAGCTCCCATATATTTTTTTATCCGATTTCAAATTTATTGTGCACCAAATGGACAATACAAGTCCGAATTTAAAAGATACAAATGCTTCGGTATATTTAGTTCTTTGAACTTTAAATTATAATTATAAGTGGTGTAGGGTATCATAAAGTCGGCCCCGCCCGACTTTAAGACTTTCTTTACTGTTCTTTTTTTATATAATCCTTCTGCAAGTGATATCATGCACTCTATAGCAAACCATAGCTGCTTTTAAGCCAAATGTTGATAGGTGGTATGATTTACTTGAAATAAATTCTTTTGTTTACGTGGGCTCTTCCAAATATGCATAGTGGTGTAGGGCATCATATAGTCGGTCGAGCCCGACTTTTGACTTTTCCTTACTGGTCTTTATTAATTCTTTGAAATAATATATTTTATTTCTGCAGCTGTATGTCTACCTGATGATCCCGAAGGCAATGCAAAATTGATGCTTAGCATATTGGATTGCTTACCTAGAGCAAATAGGGTAAGTTCTGCAATTCAAATGATCTTCACTGGATTTAAAATAAACACATTTTTATCTATTAGGCCACCTTAGTATTTCTCTTGGATCACTTGTCGCTGGTCGTTTCCAATTCCGAACGCAATAAGATGTCAGCTCAAGCTTTAGCCACTGTCATGGGCCCACCGCTAATGCTACACTCGGCCAGCGCCCAACCCGGCTCTGAGATCGATCATGCCCAGCCCATTGCTGTGCTGAAATATCTCTTGCAAATCTGGCCCCAGCCTCAGTCGCAACATCATCAGAGTGCTGGTGTCGGAGCAGGTGGTAATCTCATTAGCAGCATGGCTGTGGGTGGCAGTACCATGGGTATGGGCCTCGGTATGGGTCTGGGCATGAATGCTGGCAGTATGAATAATATGCCGGGCGTTGTTTCAGGTAACGTAATTCTAGTATATTTCTTGTGTACGAAAAAAAAAAACAAATTTTCATTTCTTTTTGTTACGTTTTGATTTTTGGGTCATAAACAAAAACTCGTTTGGACACATTTTGTGGCACAGAAATAAATAAATGAAAAAAAAAAAAACAAACTTGTCACCACAACAAAAACACAGAAAGAAACTTAAACGTTTACATAAATGCAATTTTATTTGAATTTTTTTCTTGAAGGGTTTCTAATTTTTTTTTTGAATAGAACACCACCACCACTACCACTACCCAAAGCTCACTGACAATTTTTTCACTTTTACACCAAACCGAATAACCAGAGAAAAAATGCTCCAACACTGTTCCGTTTCCATTTCGTTCCGTTAACTTTTTCCTTGATTTTCGTTAACAACACAATGCAAAAAAAAGAGAACTTTGTATTGGTTGTTTTGCGTGTTTTTCTCAATCTATCTAACTTTTTTGGCTCTCAACAACCCATATCTCTTTCTATCGAACCATCTCTTTCAAGAACCCATCTATCATTTTCCATCCATTTTTTTTTAGTTTTTGAGTTCACACATATGTATACCACTTAAGTGTATAGTTAACAATGAAAATTGCAATAATATTGATTAATACAGAGTCCTATGTAGACAGGTCGGCGCGGCGAGTCAACAGGGCAGCGTGGAAGCAAAGTCAGTGCGTTGCAAGTGGACAGGCAGGCGTTCCTCATGGCGCAGCAGCAGCAGCTCATGGCGGCGGGCAATCTACTACGCTCGTCCACTTCGGTAACCAACATACTTTCTCAAGGCCAACATCCGCTCTCAGCCACAGTCAACAGTCATCTGTATCAATCAGTAGTGGGTCAGTTAGCTCAATCGCATCGAGCCTTGCAACAAGCGGTGCAACAGGTAACAACAAAAACACCACACACATCCTAATTTCCTTCTCCAAATAAAAAAAACTTTCTTAACTTCTACTACTACAACTATGATTACAAAGTAAATAATTAATTTATTTTATAATTGTTTTTAAAACAAAACGAAGAAAAAAACAGTATCAAGCTGGGGGGACAATGACACCGCCACATACTTGACAAATGTTATGTTATAAGTGTCTAATCAAAATGGCATAATATTGGTGTAATTTGTGTCTACTTATAGCCAATGAAAAAAAAAAAACCTAAAACCCTCTATTCAGTTTCCCTCCCCAGGAAGGTCCATCTGTGACCTAACCTCAATCCAATAAATTATTAAATACCTTTTACACAGCCAGACGAACATTTCTAGAAAAATGTACAGTACTTTTCATCTAAGTAATATTTGGGCAATATGAGACAATTTTTACGATAAGATCTTACTTTTAGGGAAACCGAACTCCTTCGATCATAACATGACAGATTACTAGACATGTTCAAAATGCAAAAAATACAGGGTTGCCCATATTCAACGGACCCATGTTTTTTTTTTTTTAATCAAAGAAAAAATAAAAATTTGGCCGTTGGCAATGTTAATCATTTAATTTGTTCCAAGTAGATTTGTTTACATCAATTTTTGAATATTATATCTCTCAAATGGCCGCCTCTGGTGTTGATGACGTATTGTGCCCTTTTTGCTGCATTTTCCATCGTTTTTGCCAACATTTCGGCCGGAATAGCGGCTATTTCTTCACGAATGTTGTCCTTGAGCTCTTCTACGGTCCTTGGCTTGTTAACGTAAACCTTTGACTTCAAATATCCCCACAAGAAGAAGTCAGGCGGCGTCAAATCGGGCGAACACGGTGGCCAGTCCAAATCTCCACTTTTCCACATCAAACGGCCCGGAAACAAATTCTTCAGAAAATCGATTGTTATGCGACTTGTGTGCGGTGGAGTGCCGCCTTGTTGAAACCAGAACTGCCTCATACGCTTTCGACGAATAATTGACATCACAAAATTGGCCATCATGTCGCGATAACGCTCCTGATTGATGGTAACAGCATGGCCATTTTCATTTTGGAAGAAAAACGGCCCAATGACCGTTTTCGCACTAACGCCACACCAAACTGTGACTTTTTCGTCATGAAGAGGTACTTCTTGAATCTCCTGAGGATTTTCAGTGGCGTAAAAACGGCAATTTTGTTTTTGCTTACGGTCCCATTCAATGTGAAATGGGCTTCATCGGACATGATAATTTTGTTCCAAAATTGCTCGTCATCTTTTGCCATTTCGATGACTCTTTGGTCCCATTCCAATCGTCGAGGCTTGTCTGCTTGGACTGACTGCTTGGACTGACGCTTCAAACGCGGTATGTCATTAAACGATGTGACATCTCTGTCAAAAGTTATGGCGTTGCCAGATGGGTCCGTCGAATATGGGCAACCCTATATGGTACTCTTTAAAATTAAGGAATATAAGAATTATGTTAATAATTAAGATTTTAGAAATAATTGAGATGTTAAGAAGGACTTTCTTATGACCCAAGGAGTAAATAACAACCGAGAAACATTAAAATATTTTCGAATTACAATTGTATAATAACATCTATAGGAGGAATGTCGTTTTCAGTGCATCCCAATAATATATCAATTGTAATGGGACCACCGCTCTACGACAACCTGACTATGAATTCAATTATACCCCGTCCAATGCTGTGCTTAAAATCTAGGCCCAGCTCCAGTCGCAATCTCTCCAGTTGGAAATCTCATTAGCAGCATGGCTTTGGGTGGCAGTACCACGGAATTGGTCTGGGCATGAATGCTGGCAAGAAAAAATACCAAGTGGTCTTCTTTATAGAATAACACGAGTTCTTCTTAAAAAAAAGACCAATAGGTCTTCTTTATAGAAGGCAAAGATGTCTTCTCACAGAAGACCTAGAGGTTATGTCATAGAAAACCAAAAGATTTTCTTATAAAAGACCAAAATCCGACAGTTTTCGTTATGGAAGACCCGAGGGTCTTTTTTATACGAGACCAAGAGGTTCTCTTTATAGAAGATCAGAAGGTATTTTTCGTTATAGAAGACCAGAAGGTCTTCTTCGTAGCAGAAGATCTGAAGGTATTTTTCGTTGTAGAAGGCCAAAATTTTTTTTCTCCGTTAAAGAGTTAAAGACCAAAAGATCTTCTTCGCTATAGAAGCCCAAAAGGCCTTCCTCGTTATAGAATACCAAGATGTTTCCTTTTTATATCAGGCAAATTCAGGGTGAGATAAAAAACTGCAACAAAGTCGAACGCCATAATTTTCTCATTTTTTTATTGAATGAAAGCAAAAAATGTCGGAAGTAGCATCAAATTTTAGAATAAGTGTAGATTTGTTAGAATTGGTCACCTTTGGCACGAATTATGGCCTTCAAATGGCCAATGAAAACGTCATATGCTGCCCGAATGTTGCTCTGCGGTATTTTGGTGAAGCGCTTGCTTGGTATTGGTATCGCTTGGTATTTTTTAGTGCCAACCTTGCTTTCCAAAATACTCCAGACACAATAGTCCAACGGATTGTTATCCGGAGATTTTGGTGGCCATTGTATGCTGGAAATGAAGTGAGAAACCTCATTTTGTAACCATTCATGGGTGGCGCGTGCTGAGTGCGATGGTGCTGAGTCATGTTGGAATGTCCAAGGTCTGCGGCCAAAATGTTTGCATCCCCAAAGCCTTAATATTCCCTCCAGAATATTTTCGCCATAATATTCGGCATTATTCGATCGATTAATGCGAGCGGAGATCGACCATCGGCTGTTATGGCGGCCCACACCATCACCATTGCCGGCGCATGGGTTCTGGTGGCCAACGGAAGGTGCACATTTTCAGCTGACCTCCTTGGCTAGTAAACTTCGATCATTTTGTTTGATTACTAACTGCTGGACAACGAATGTTTTCTCATCGGAAAAAACCAAATTCGTCAGTTTACCACTTTCGGCCAAGCGAAGAAACTCTTTAGCTCTTTTGAGTCTATTTTCTTTCTGTTGCGGTGTAATTTCTTGCACTTTTTGGAATTTCAAGGGCTTTACCCCGAGCTCATTTTTCAATATTTGCCGAATGGAATATTCAGCTCACGAGGCGTTTTTCGTCCATTTCGACGAGGGTTTCGTACAAGTTGCTTCTTTGCTTTTCGAACAATTTCTGCTGATGTTACTGTTTTAAGCCGTCCACTTCCTTGACGTCGGGCTACGCTACCAGTATCACGGTTACGGGCGTTGGTACGAGACACAAAACATTTATTCACATTCAAATGCTGGAGTGCTCTAACAATAGCCACCAAATATAAAGAAATCACACTATCACGCTTGAATTCCGTTACAAATATTTTTTTTTCTGGAAAATTCTCACCAAAATGCTTTTGTACGCTTGTAAACAATAATATGAGCTGTCACTGGAATAATTTTAACAGCTGTCAGACGAGTGGCTTAGAAATGACAGCAGTCTAAAGTTGGTTGTAGTTTTTTCATCTCACCCTGTATATACTGAAGGGATTTCCACCATTTATTTAGCAAAACAGCCATTTTGTTGAGATCTACGTCTGAGAGCTTCGAAATACTAAAAATTAGTAAATACTATTGCAGATATAAAGTCTACATTTTTTAAAAACGAACTTTATTTAAAAGAATAATACTGAATTCTGCAAATTTAATTTAGAATTATAGCTGATATATGGGATTTATCAGGTCTTCTATAGACTCTCTTCTGGTTGGCTTAAAATTCCCCTCAGGTTGTTTTTAAAGGCTTCCTTCCGGTCGTCTATAAATACTTTCTTCAGGCCTTCTATAGAATCTCTTCAGTTTGGCTATAAATATTCCCTTCAAGTTGTTTTTAAGGACGACGGAGGAACGTCTATAAATACTTCCTTCAGGTCGTCTATAGACTCTCTTCAGGTTGGCTATTAATATTCCCTTCAGGTTGTTTTTAAAGGTTTCCTTCAGGTCGTCTATAGACTCTGTTCAGGTCGTCTATAGACTCTGTTCAGGTCGTCTATAGACTCTGTTCAGGTCGTCTATAGACTCTGTTCAGGTCGTCTGTAGACTCTGTTTAGGTCGTCTATAGACTCTCTTCAGATCGTCTGTAGACTCTGTTTAGGTCGTCTATAGACTCTCTTCAGATCGTCTAAAGACTCTCTTCAGGTCGTCTATAGAAACTCTTCAGGTCGTCTATAGATTAACTTCAGGTCATCTATAGACTCTCTTCAGGTCGTCTATAGACTCTCTTCAGATCTTCTGTAGACTCTCGTCAGGTCGTCTATAGACTCTCTTTAGGTCGTCTGTAGACTCTCTTCAGGTCGTAACTTGTAAATATTGTATCTATATATTGAGCTCTTTATAATCGGATGAACATTGCAAAACTTTAATGTTGGGGTTTCCAACGAGTTTAAAAAAAATACAAAAAACTTGAAGCCCTATCCTAATATTGATTATAACACTACAATTAATTCGTCTTGAAAAGTACTGTACACTTTCCTTGTTAAACTCCAATTCTCACACCCATTCCCTCAACAATAAAAAAAATACCTGTTGACCGTTTGAAAAAAAAAATACCAAAGAAACCTAAATGTTGCTTTTAATTGATAACTAATAAGACTACTAATATTTTACGCAAATCAAATATTGAAACTTTCATAATGTTACTAATAACAATAACAATAACTGAAGCAAATTTGATGTGATGTGATGTACGACTGCAATCGGATGTAAGCATGATTGGCCCACTACTGGTAAACTTGTTGAAACAAATCAATCAAACAAAACTATCAAACAATCAAAACTACACATTAGCATTAGTATTCTATAAAAAAAAAAAAAAACAAAATCAGCAAAATAAACTAAACAAATATTTATCATTCCAAAACAAACTCAAAAATCATGCTAAACCAAACAAAAAAAAAAAAAAAACAACGCAACCATTTTACCATTTCATCTATCTCAATGCCAAAATAACAAACAAAATCCACAAAAAATCATATCGATCAGACATCGATGTAATGCTTCAAATCCTTTTGTACATACATAACTGTCTAGTCCATACATATACATAGCTAGCGTTATGCGTTAATGTTTTCTTTAAAATGTGAATTAAATATGAAGAAAAAGAAAAACAGAGAACGCATGTTTTTTCGTTTTCTTTGCTAAAAACACAAAAACCAAACATCCATACATCCATTCATCGGTCCTTTTCGAACATCAAAATCACAAAAAAAAACAAATTTTTACTCATCTCAAGTAGTTTTAGATCCATTCAACTCATTCGAACATTGACATTAAATGATAATGTAAGAGTCGGAAAATTAAGTATTTTTTCACAAAATCTACTACTTATAGTAAAATTTAAAAGTTTACTCTTTATAGTGAATTTTCACAAAATTCACTATTTTTAGTGAATTTTCAAAAAATTCACTATTTATAGGGAATTTTCACAAAATTCACTACTTATAGTGAATTTTCACAAAATTCACTACTTATAGTGAATTTTCACAAAATTCACTACTTATAGTGAATTTTCACAAAATTCACTACTTATAGTGAATTTTCACAAAATTCACTACTTATAGTGAATTTTCACAAAATTCACTACTTATAGTGAATTTTCACAAAATTCACTATTTACAGGGAATTTTCACAAAATTCACTATTTATAGGGAATTTTCACAAAATTCACTATTTATAGGGAATTTTCACAAAATTCACTATTTATAGAATTTTCACAAAATTCACTATTTATAGAATTTTCACAAAATTCACTACTTATAGTGAATTTTCACAAGATTCACTATTTATAGGGAATTTTCACAAAATTCACTATTTATAGGGAATTTTCACAAAATTCATTATTTATAGTGAATTTTCACAAAATTCACTATTTTTAGTGATTTTTTTACAAAATTAACAATTTATAGTGAATTTTCAAAAAATTCTATTAAACCGTGGGGAATCCAGCAGATTATGAAAGTAGAGATAACAAGTAAAAAATCAGCTAAGTTCGGCCGGGTCGAACTTTTAATACTATCCACCATTTGGAAGGAACTTGAAAAATATAAATAAACCAGTAAAGAAAGTCTTAAAGTCGGGCGGGGCCGACTTTATGATACCCTACACCACTTTGCTAATTTAGTAGAGCTCCGCATAACAATTAAAAGTTTCTATGGGAGAATTCAATCATACAGGCTATGATTATAATTATAATTTAGGATTCAAAGGACTAAATATGCCGTAGCATTTGTATCTTTAAAATTCGGACTTGTATTGCCCATTTGGTGCACAATTAATTTAAAATCGGATAAAAATATACATGGGAGCTATATTTAAATCGGAACCGATCTCGATAAAATTTGGCAAAGATATTTCTCTGAATATCGTTGTTACGGAGTGCATATTACGGCTGTGGGTAACAAATATGACAAATCGGATGAACAGCATATATGGGAGCTATATCTAAATTTTGACCGATTATCTCCAATTTCAATAGGATTCGTCCTTGGGCCAAACAAATTATTTGTTCAAAATTTCATCTGGATAGGGCAATAAATGCACAAAGACATAATACCCTGACCACCTTGTGGTGTAGGGTATAAAAATTCGGGAACTACCACTTAACTGAAAACTGTTATATGGAGTCTATACGAAGGCGTGGGCATGCTTACGAATTTTCTGTCGTAGGCTGTAGTATTCATTACGAACTTTAAACACCAAGTCTGAAACAAGTTGTTTCCCAAAGGCTGTAGCACCCATTAGAAACTTCAAATACGATATTTGAAATAATTCCGGTAAATAATGTCGCTAAAATCATGAAAATACCGAATATAATATAGTATAAAAATACCTAATATCGGGGGTATCGTTATATGGGGGCTATACGAAGACATGAATACGAATTTTTTTCCATGGATTGTATTAACCATTAAGATCTTCCAATACGAAATTTGAAATGATTCCGGTGAATATCATCATCAAAATACCGAATATCGGGAGCTACCGTTATATGGGGGCTATACAAAGACGTGGACCTGCATACAAAAATATTTGTCATTGGCTGTAGTACCCATTACGAACGTTAAATATGAAATTTAAAATGATGCAAGTAAATACTTTCGCTAAAATCATGAAAATACCGAATATCGGGAGGTACCGTTATTTGGGGGCTATACGAAAACGTGGAACGACATGGCCCATTTACGAACTTAACCTGTCTACTGCTAAACTATGCACGTATGCACAATTTTAGCCTTCTATCTCAGACAGATAGACAGACAGACAGACTTCGCTAGATCGTCTTAGAGTTTTGCGCTAATCCAGAGTATACATACTTTGTAGGGTCTATTTTAAATATTTCGAGTAGTTACAAGCGGAATGACAAAGTTAATATATCCTCCATAGAATGGTGGAGGGTATAAAAATAGACAATGCGTGTATCGGCCTTTTGAAAGTTTACATCACCTTCTTCCAATCTTTTTTAAGTTTTCGGATAAAGAATCCTTGGAATACGAGGAATATTTTGATGAACATTTTTAGCCCTTTAGCCATATTTTCAAAAAAAAAAAAACTTTAAACGGGAAAATATTCTACAAAAATTATTTCATACAAAATTCTACTATAGGTCAAAATATTCTAGAAGTCATCAAGATATCAAAGACACATTTTAGGTTTAAAGCCGTACTTTGTGTGAGTTCGTGCAAAAATCTCCAACAAAGCATAACTTCATATATCAAGAAAATATTTACATAAATGTTGCAAAAAAAAAAAAAAAAAAAAAAACATTTTTCCTTTGTCGTTTTTTGTTCGTAACTATAAATTTCAGGATATAAATTTCTATATAATAAATTTCAGGATAAACCATATCTCTAATCCTATTAATTTTTCAAAGAAAAAAAAAGGAATAAATTCGAAATGTATGTAGTACAAGAGAAAATTATGTACGGGTGAGATAAAAAACCTGAAACAAAAAACAAAAAAAAAAAAAAAAAAATTATGGCAAACGCCATAGTTTTTACATTTTTTTTTTTAATTTCATTGAATGAAATAGTTAATTAAATAGGATCAAATTTTAAAATATGTTTAGATTTGTTCGAAATGACCACCTTTGGCACGAATTATGGCCTTCAAACGGCCAATGAAACCGTTACACGCTTCCTCAATGTGGCTCTGCGGTATTTTGGCTCATTCCCGTCGAAGCGTTTGCTTGAGTTTATCGAAACTTTGGTATTTTTTTGTGCCAACTTTGCTTTCCAAAATACTCCAGACACAATAGTCCAACGGATTGGTATCTGGCCATTTTTTAACAATTCTTGGATTCCAAGAAATCTTAATCCAAAAATATCCAAAATGTTGTAGAGGGGTGAATTTGTCTGCTCTTGGCAATGTGAACATTCAAAACACCGATACACGTGTCTTTTATTTTTAGCTCAACTTTCATAATCTGCTTTATTTTTCACGTAATTATTTTTTGTGTTGCTAGTCTTAGCATGTTTCAAACGACCATTCATCCATCTAAACATTTTCATCTTCATCTTCAATTGGAAAGTGGATAAAATTGGCACTAAACCTAACCTTGTGACTGGCACCAAACCGACATTTCTTAACAACTCCCCCACCTCCATTTCGTATGTTGCACTTGTTTCTCTTTTTATATGACGTTGCTGTTGTTGTTGTCTGTAGTAAATAGTAAATTGTTTTTTTTTTTTTTTTTATTGGATATGGTTTTCTTCCCAATACCAACAACCAACCTTGCGGCTGTAATGTGCAAACAAACAAAGAAAAAATTGGGAAATTAAAAAAAAATAAATATATATTCAAATTTTAACACGCATTTGTTTTGTTTTTATAATGCACCTACTATGTAAGCTTTACAACCAACCAACCACCACCACTTCCACTTTTTCCACCACACTCATTTTCCTTTAGTTGTATTTCGTTATAAACATTTGCCTGCGAGTTTGTAGCTAATATTTTGCCTTTCTTTGGAATGTTTCAATTTCATTACAGCCCCATCCATTGGTGGACTCAGTGGTCTCGGCAATTCCCGACCCATCGCCACTGCCCATTCCCGGCACACCCTCCCCCGGCAGTAGTTCAGCGTCAACAGCATCGGGATCCGGTTCGGGCAAAAGTAAATACAGAAGCCTGAAAACTCCATACGGAGACTCATAACACTTTCCCTTTACTCTTTTTCCCTTTCTCACCAGGTACGGATACAATCAAACGAGGCATCTCACCGGCTTCCGTTAAACAAGTCAATATCCAGGAGTCCGTCAGCTCGTATTCGCTCAGTCAGAAAAAGTCCGATAGAGATTCACTCGATACCCAACACACTACAAATAATGGCCACCACCTACAAATCAACAGCAACAATAATAACACCAATCCATATGCAACACCATCACCAACAGGCACATCATCCGGCGGCACAGCTGCTCATGGGGCGGCATTGACGGCGGCAGGTAGCAGCACGCGCAAAGGTGTTGATTTTTACGAACCGCACAAATCTCAGACCAAGAGCGACGATGACAATAATGGTGTGGTGAGCAGCAGCAACAGCAGTGGCGGCATCGGCGGCATAAGCAGTAAATATGGCGGCGATTCGGCTTACAAGTTACGAAGTGCCTATGCTTCGTCGGGGGGTAGCGGCCTGGACCACAAGCCCACCAGTTCGCTCTCCACCGAAGAGTACAAGGCCATGCGCAACAAGTCCAGTGCATCGTCATCATCGGCCTCGTCCCAGGCCACGGTTTTGAGTGCTGGTTCGGCAGGCACTTCGGCAACGACCACCTCCTCGGATGATTCCGATGATTTGGTTTCATACAAATCTTCAGCTTCGACCAATGCCCTATTGGCCCAGTCCCAGGCCATGACAACGACACAGCTAATGTCCAAGTATTTAAAGCGGGAACCTAGGGTACAATTTACACCCATCAAATCACCGGATTCTCCCTCGCCACCAGGTGGCAGCAGTCTACCCAGAGGTACGTACCATCTTACCAATAGCAGCCGAAATATACACAGCGATATCAGCAGCATTGGTGGTACGGCCACTTCGGCCAGCTGCAACAGCCTGGGTGGAAAATACACTCTCGACAAAAGCGATAGGGCAGCATCTCCATCGAAGTCAGCACTCTCCAGTAGCCTCAAGGAAACGCCAGCACTGGGTTCATCAGTCTCGGCCACATCGCCAGGATCTGCAATGTCAACAATTTCAACTGGACGCCGTCTATTCGATAGCCTGGCCTCCGAAACCTCCGACTCAGCAATCAGCCGTTCGAGGACAGCTACATCCACCACATCATCATACAATAACGACATTAGACACTCGGTAGCAAGTAGTAGTACTCATATTAGCAATAAGTCCACAACAAGCTCAGAACATCGTTCATTCGGTAGTAGTCTCTTTAGCAGCGGCACTGAACGCAACAGCGGCAGCAGTGCCGCCTATTCGAGCAATGGCTCAAATGGCTCGACCCACTATGGTACATTGCCCAAACAAAGTATCTCGGGGGCGACTCTGTTCAATACATCGGCCTCAACATCATCGGCAACGGCCGGTGGTGCAGCGGGTGCATCTGGCACGGCCAGCAGCAGTGGTGTTAGTTCCATGTCTGGCTCAGCCAGTAGTTATGATTTTTATACAAATAATTCCTCCTCCTCCTCATCGGCTTATTCAGGTTCAAGTAGCGTATATGGCACGACATCTCGACCCTATGCCAATGGTGGTAGTGCCGCCTCATCGAATGGGGCTGGTAACTATCACACATTGGGTACATATCGTGTCCAGTATGCTGCCACAAATCCATTTCTAGATGCATTTGATGCTCCCTCGGAAAGTACGTCCACCACCACCACGACGACGGCGACCAATGCCAGAAATGGTAATGGTGGAGGTGGTAGTGGCACGGCCAGTAGCAGCGGCAGTGATCATCGTTCATCAGCGATGGCTGCTTTCCATTCGAGTGGTGGTGGCAGTGGTAGTGGTGGTGAAGTGAAAAATGGTAGTGATGAATATGACGATCTCAAATAGGTAACAACAACGACGATGAAAAAGAGACGATGGCATTCTCCAATTGTTCCTTGTCATTTATCACAACTAAATAACAGTTACAACAACATCAAAAAATAACAAACATGACTCAACGGCAACAATAACAACCATCAATGTAGTAATCAAATCAATTAGTAATCGTTCATATATTCCAAAAACACTCACACACACACACACACATCTAAATCAAATCGAATTTCATACAACATATTTGCTCACAGAACTTCATTAATAGAATAAACTCATCAACAGAGGCCGCTGTAAAAACATGGTAAGGGAAGTGACAAAAATGACTCATTGTGATCCCATTGAATGTGCGACAAAAATGTTTCTTCGTAATGAATAATATAACGCTAAAATTTTGCAGATCGGTCCATCTTAGGGCTTTTTTTTGTAGCCCCCACCATTCTATGGAGGGTATATTAGCTTTGTCATTCCGTTTGTAATTCTTTGAAATATTCATGATAGACCCTACAAAGTACATATATTGTGGATCAGCGTAAAATTCTAATACGATTTAGCGATGTCTGTCTGTCTGTCTGTTCTAATCACGCTATCATTCGAACGAATTGAGATAGATGGCTAAAATTCTGCACAAATTTGTATTTACAGGTTAAGTTCGTAAATGGGCGGTATCTCCCGATATTCGTCATTTTGATGGTTTTAGCAAAATCATCAACCCAATTGTTTTAAATTTTGTATTCGAACTTTGAAATAGGTACTACAGCCCATGCCTAAAAATTTCTTATGCATGTCCACGTCTTCGTATAGCCCCCATATAACGACACCTCCCTTTATTCTGTATTCTAATGATTTTTGCGACATTATTCAACGGAATTGCTTAAAAATTCGTATTTGAAAATTTTAATGGGTACTAAAGCCTAGGGGAAAAATTACTAATGCAAGCCACGTCTTCGTATAGCCCTCGTATAAAAGTCATAATTTAAACGGTATTTTTCTGAAAATTTTCAAGTTCCTTTCAAATGGTAGAGGGTATTAAAAGTTCGGAACTTAGCGCCTATTTATACCCTACACCACATAGTGGTAAGGGTACTATGTCTTTGTGCATTTGTTTGTAACAGGCAAAAGGAAACGAGATAGACCCATAGTTCCTTTTGATGATCTGCATAGAATCACATTCTGAGTCGATTTATGCATGTCCGTCCGTCCGCCCGTCCGTCTGTCCATGTATTTTTGTAAACAAAGTACAGTTCGCATTTATTGCCCTATCCAGATGAAATTTTGCACAAATCATTTGTTTGGCCCAAGAACAAACCCTATTGAAATTGAAGATATTCGGTCAAAATTTAGATATAGCTCCCATATATATGTTCGCCCGATTTGCTTTTTATTGTGCACCAAACGTGTAATATCAGTCCGAATAGCATGGAATTTTGCACGTACGATCAGATTGGACCTTAAAATAAGTATGCCAAATTTGATCGAAATCGGTTCAGATATAGCTATAGCTCCCATATATATTGTTCATCCGATTTGTTATCTTTGTCCTCCGCAGCCGTAATATGCACTCTGTAACAACAATATTTGGGGAAATATATCAAATGCAGCTCAGAAATACCTTTGCTAAATTTTATCGAGATCGGTTCAGATTTGGATATTGCTCCCATATATAACTTCGTCCGATTTACATTTGATTGTGCACCAAACGTCTAATATTTGCCCAAATGGGATGAAATTTGGCACTTACGACCGAATTGAGTCTAGAAGCTAGAAGCTACGTCAAATTTTGTGAAGATCGGTCCAGATATAGCTATAGCTCCCATATATACTCACTCCGTAACAACGATATTCAGGGAAATATATCAAATACAGCTCAGAAATATCTTCGACAATTTTTATCGAGATCGGTTTAGATTTGGATATAGCTCCCATATATATCAAATGGAAAATACAAGTCCGAATTTAAAAGATACAAATGCTTCGGCATATTTAGTTCTTTGAACTTTAAATTATATTTATAATCGTAGCGTGTATGATTTTAACTGTTATGCGGAGCTCTACTAAATTAGCAAAGTGGTGTAGGGTATCATAAAGTCGGCCTTGCCTGACTTTAAGGCTTTCTTTACTGGTTTATTTCTGTTGCGGTGTAAGTTCTTGTACTTTTTGGAATTTCAATGGTTTTTTCAATATTCTCCTAATGAAATATGGCGATATGTTCAGCTTACGAGCCATTTTTTGGTCACTGCGACGTTGATGTTGTTGTTTTCTTCCGTCCACTTCCTTGACGTCGGTTTACGCTACCAGTATCATGGTAACGAGCGATGGTACGAGACACAAAATATTTATTCACATTTAAATGCTGGAGTGCTCTAACGATAGCCTCTTGTGGTTTTCCAGCCAAATGTAAAAAAATCACACTATCACGCTTGAATTCCATCACGAATAACTTAATTAATAACTTACTTAATAACTTAACGTCATTATTGTCACTTCCTTTTTCTTTAGGGTAATTCCATATTTCCATAAAATTTCTCATCAAAAAACATTACTAGCATTGCAAATGACATCATCATACCACATTCATCTGAATTTCAGAACTTTACACACACACACACACATTCCACTCATTATTATCATAATCATCAAGAACAACAATAAACACCATAATACGAAAATAAATCAGCCCAACAACAGAGAAAACAATAATTTTTATTCGTTCATCTAACAAAGAAAACAAAAACAAACAACTTAACAACAACAACTTAAAGAATGGGAAAAATGCTAGTATTACATTTTGAAATAATCTCCTTTTTTAAATATTTACAATTTACATACAAATTTACAGTAAACATATACGAATAAACAAGCAAAACAAATATTAATGAATAATATTTAACGTAATGTATTGTAATCTTTAAACAAAAACAACAAAAAAAAATACAAAAGAAATATTTAAGGCAGCAAATTTAACAATTCTAAAAACATAAACATCATAACTTTTTTATTTAAAAATATATATTAAAAAAAGATTAACATTCAAATCACATAACAGGACAACCACAACAAAGAACTGACTCACACACATTAACACATAGAAACATTCCATACATCCATATATAAATATATATGAAAAAAATGACTACAGTAATTGAAAACCAAAAATAATATGAATTATAATAAGAAATGAAAACAGAAACGAATTAACGAATTTTTCAAATAGGTAATATGATGATGATATGTGGCAATCCCAATCAGACAACTACTACTACTACAACTAATATTCATACTACATACAAACAACAAAATGACAAAAAGAAATACAACAACAAAAAAACAACAACAGAAACTACTACTATTCTAATTATGATTATGCATTATTACTACTAACCATTACTTACAACAGTTGCATATTTTTATAATATTGTCCCAGTGTATATATGTATGTATAAACCTCATACATATATATTTACCGGGCAATTATTGTAATTATATTTAACTGTTTGCTTATCTATGTATATGTATAAACAAAGCAACAACAACATTCTCATTATAAACCGACTTTTTTATATAATCCTATTTTTTCTCCCTCCCAAACGAAAAAAAAAAACTAAAAGAAAAAAAAACTCTCTTAAAACTCTTTACAAAGCTGAATTTACAAAGGATATACACTGAAACCAAAAACAACTTATATAACAAATTTATATATAATCTATATATATAAATGAATATATTATTGAGAATATAAATTAACGGCAAGTATTTTGTGAAAATCAATTCATCCACAGTCATATTTGATTAGAATTTCAGAAAAAAAAAAAAAAAATAATTGGCTTTTCATATTTTTTTTCTTTCTGGGTTGCACTTTTAAAAAAATCGTAAATTTGAGCTATTTTTCCGTTATTTTGCCTATAAATTTTATGATTGATTTATTTAATTATATTTTTTTAGTGGCCAGAGGGGACAGAGGTGTCAATATACTCGTATTCTGAAACAGAGTACTTTAAGAGAATATATTTGAACAAAATACTGTTTTTATACCCTACACCACAAGGTATGTCTTTGTGCATTTGTTTGTAAAGGAAACGAGTGGACCCATAGTTCCTTTTGATGATATGCATAGAAACACATTCTGAGTCGATTTATGAATGTCTGTCTGCCGTCTGTCCATGTATTATTGTAAATAAACTTCAGTTCGCATTTATTGGCCTATCCAGATGAAATTTTGCACAAAACATTTGTTTGGCCCAAGGAAGAACCCTATTAAAATTGGAGATAATCGGTAAAAATTTAGATATAGCTCCCATATATATCTTCGTCCGATTTGACTTTTATTGTGCACCAAACATTTAATATTAGCCTGAAATGCATGGAATTTTGCACATACAACCAAATTAGACCTGAAAATAAGTATGCCAAATTTGATCGAAATCGGTTCAGATATAGCTATAGCTCCCATATATATTATTCATCCGATTTGTTATTTTTGTCCTCCGCAGCCGTAATATGCACTCTGAAACAACAATATTTGGGGAAATATATCAAATGTAGCTCAGAAAAACCTTTGCTAAATTTTATCGAGATCGGTTCAGATTTGGATATAGCTCCCATATATAACTTCGTCCGATTTACCTTTTATTGTGCATCAAACGTCTAATATTTGCGCAAATGGGATAAAATTTGGCACTTACGACCGAATTGAGTCTAGAAGGTAGTATGTCAAATTTGGTGAAGATAGGTTCAGATATAGCTATAGCTCCCATACATATTGTTCCTCCGATTTGTTGTATTTTTTACCCACAGCCGTAATATGCACTCCATAACAAAGATATTCAGGGAAATATATCAAATACAGCTCAGAAATATCTTTGCCAAATTTTATCAAGATCTGTTCAGATTTGGATATAGCTCCCATATATATATATATTTGTCCGATTTCAAATTAATTTTGCACCAAATGGGCAATACAAGTCCGAATTTAAAAGATACAAATGCTTCGCCATATTTAGTCTTTTGAACTTTAAATTACAATTATAATCATAGCGTGCATGATTAAATTCTCCCATAAAATCTTTTAATTGTTATGTGGAGCTCTACAAAATTAGCCGCCCGACTTTAGCTCTTTAGAGTCTATTCTCTTTCTGTTGCGGTGTAAGTTCTTGCACTTTTTTGAAATTTCAATTTCGAATGGAATATTGCGATATGTTCAGCTCACGAGGCATTTTTTGGCCACTGCGACGCGGGTTTCGATCAAGTCGCTACTTTACATTTCGAACCATTTCTGCTCATGTTGCTGTTTTCTTCCAAAGTATATATTCTGGATCAGCGAAAAATTCTAAGACGATTTAACGATGTCCGTCTGTCTGTTGCAATCATGCCACCTTTCGAAGAAATTGAGATAGAAAGCTAAAATTTTGCACACATGCTTATTTCGCCAGTAGGCAAGATAAGTTCGTAAATGAGCTTTGTTCCCCATATAACGGAACCTCCCGACATTCGGTATTTTTATAATTTTAGCGACATTATTTTCGCTTATTGTTTGAAATTTCGTATTCGAAGCTTCTAATGGGTACTACAGCCTGTGCCTAAAAATATTTTATGCAGGTCCACGTCTTCATACAAAGTGAGATAAAAAAACAGGAACAAAGTCAAAAGTCATAATTTTATTTTATATTTTTAATTTTATTGAAAGAAACCAAAAAATCTCGGAAATAGCATCAAATTTTAGAACAAGTTTTGATTGATTCGAATTGGTCATCTTTGGCACGAATTATGGCCTTCAAACGGCCAATGAAAGCGTCACACGCTGCCCGAATATTGTTCTGCGGTATTTTGGCCCATTTTCGTATTTGAAGCTTCCAATGGGTACTAAAGTCTATGCCTAAAAGGTTAAGATCATCATTTAAACGGAATTTGTCGGATTTTTTTTTTTTAATTTTTAACGTTTCTGCCAAATGGTGGAGGGTATTAACAGTTCGGCCCGGTCGAACTTAGCTGCTTTGTTAATTATTTTTTACTAAAATCTACCATTAGAACTTTGATTGGTCCCTTTTTTTCTCGTATATTTGTTATTCACCTCAATTTTCATAACCTACATCACAAGTTGGTCAGGGTATTATGTCTTTGTGCATTTGTTTGTAACAGGCACAAGGAAACGAGATAGAATCATAGTTCCTTTTGATGATCTCCATATAATCACATTCTGAGTCGATTTATGCATGCCCGTCCGTCTGTCCATGTATTTTTTAAACAAAGTACAGGTGGGCACCAAACGTGAAAATTAGTATGCCAAATAGAAGCTAGTATGTCAAACTTGGTGAAGATCAGTTCAGATATAGCTATAGCTCCCATATATATTGTTTCTGCGAGTTGTTATATTCGTTCCCCACAACCATATATATATGCACTCCGTAACAACAATATTTAGGGAAATATATCAAATACAGATCAGAAATATCTTTGCGAATTTTTATCAAGATTGGTTCAAATTTGGGTATAGCTCCCATATACAAGCCCAAATTGAAAAGATACAAATGCTTCAGCATATTTAGTCCTTTGAACTTTAAGTTATAATTATAATCATAGCTTGCATGATTTAATTCTACCATAAAACTTTTAATTGTGAGGTGAAGCTTTAATAAATATGCCAAGTGGTGTTGGCCCCGCCCGACTGTAAGACTTTCTTTACTGTTTTTTTTTTTTTTTTTTGATAATGATTGTAGTGTATGTTCAAAATATTTATGGCCCCTCTGGTTTATTATTTTTTTTATTAAAAACATTATACCTAAGAATTGGACATCTTCATCATCATTGCATTGCATTTGTACTGAAATCTTTACTAAAATTACAAAAGTAATAATAATAATACAAAAACCTAACAGTATTCTATTAAAGTTTATACACATGGAGAGGAGAGGTGTAATAACAGCAGCAGCAGCAAAGAACAACAACAGTGAAACAACAATAATAAGGTTGACTTAATGCATTTAATTATTAACACAGCAAAACAAAAAAAAAACTAAATGAACTTTATTAGATTACGACTAAACGATTATACAGATTAAAATTATAATACATAATTATAATAAACAACAACATAAAATAAATAAAAAAATTATAAGCATTGCATTACCAACCAACCATTTAGCTAGGCAAACTAACCAACCAACAAACCAATCCATAACCACTTCCTCAGAACAAATTATGAAGTATAAAGAAATTGAAAAAATAAAAACCAAAAATCCTTAAGCTCTCCTTTTTCGATCTATATACAACATACAAAGCAAAACCTAACCGAACCTAAATGCACTGTAATTTTTTTAAATGAAAACAAAAGCAAAGCAAACCAATCACAAATTACGACCAATATTATTATACCTACCATATACATATATACAACATACAACAATACAATACAAAACGATACCATACTTATACATACAAACCCAAAACAAAATACCTACCATATACATATATAGCTATACATAAATAGTACTAATAAAAAAAATCCCCCAAAAAATATTCCAATTGCTCTATTATGCAGATACATATAAATATGAATATATATTTAATATAAATATACATAAACCACAAAAAATGAACAAAGAACAAACTCCATATAACATTCCAAAGCAAAGTAGGAAGCAAAAAAGAAAATTAAAACCAAAAAAAATACTAAATATAATATCTTTAAAATAATTCAACTATCTAATCAATAAAATGCTACTATTCTCGTATGTACACAAAAGGCGAACTAAATTAGAAAATAACAAAAAAACAAAAAAGCTAGTCATGGAAAACTATTTTCCAAAAACTACATTTTTGCAGATTCCATATTTGTTGCTAAGATCTAAATTTAGTTTTCATTAATCATGAATGTTTACATTTCTTTTATTTATTTCATAATATTATTATTTTGTATATACGTATAATTAATCATGTTAAAATTGATATTTAAAAATCGGAACTTATTATGGCGTTATATAAGCTTTTTTTTAATTTATTCCTAATTAGAAAATAAATGTATTTAAATGATCTAAAAATTGAATTCGAATAAACTGTTGAAATAGTTAAACGCCGATTTTGTACTCTGTCTCCCATTTTTAGGCAACATGACTCAGTGAGAGAGATAGAGAAGAAGAGAGACGCGACCTAATAGACATCGGCTGTGCCGTCTACGACATATTTAATTAATATACTCATTCTATGAAGGGTATGTTAACTTTGTCATTCCGTTTGTAAATCCTCGAAATATTCATAAAAGATATATATTCCGGATCAGCGTAAGACGATCTAGCGAATTGAGATAAAAAGCTAACATTTTGCACACTTAGTTTACCAGTAGGCAGATTAGGTTCGTAAATAGGCCATGTCGGTCCACGTTTTCGTTTAGCCCCCAAATAACTGTACCTCCCGATATTCGTTGTTTTCATGATTTCTGCAACATTATTCACCGGAATCGTTTCAAATTTCGTATTGGAAGATCCTAATTGGTACTACAACCTATGGCAAAATATTTTGTATGCAGATGCAGATCTTCGTATATCACCCATATAACGACACCTCCTGATGTTCGGTATATTCAAGATTTTTGCGACATTATTTATAGGAATTATTTTGAATTTCGTATTTGAAGTTCTTACTGGGTACTACAGCCTATGACAACAATTTTTATATGCAGGTTCACGTCTTCGTATAGCCATCATATAGCGGTACCTCCCAGTTACCAGTAGGCAGATTAGGTTCGTAAATGGGCCGACATCCACGTTTTCGTTTAGCCCCCATATAACTGTACCTCCCGAT